TGTATCGTTTTGTTTTAATAAAAATGGCAATGGTCATCTGTAAACCACATAATATTACAAACAGTAGTAGTAGATGGGTTTGTTCGTCTGTTTGTTTGAGTAAAGAGAAGCACATCGACACAAGTAATGGTCATAATGTAGGGAATGCTGGGAAAGAGTAAGACAGACAGACACAACAAAGGAAAAGTGAAGAGGTAGATCTATCTGTTTTGTTTGAATAAAGAGAAGTACATAGATCTAGATACAATAAATTATGGTCATTTAGTGCGGGAAAAAGTCTGACAGATAGACAGAAACAACAGAGCTAGAGTCAGGCTGTGAGAGGAATTAACAAATTAAAAAAAAAATTGATGGGCAAAGTATGAAAAATAGAAAATAAAGCGAAATTCATCTTAAATTTCATGAGAGTTACACCTCTCACATTTTAAATGTGAATTTATTAATTTCCACAGATAGAGCTTGTTATTTAGTAAATTTACACTGAAAAAACAAAGAAGCAAACACATTTAAAAAAGAAAAAACTGTTCAACAAAAGTCGAAACTACCTAAGCTAATTCAAACTAAAGGGAACCAAATACAGAAACCATTAAGTTCTCCCCGATCCTGTTGGAAACACACTATTAGAAAAGCAGGTTTATACGTATTTTTAATGAATTGATCGAAGCATGTTATGTTATATTATAACTAGCTAGCCCTCCTTTCGTTGAAAGGAATGATCTGTGCATTAACATCAACTGAAAGTCATAGGCCTACTATATTTACACACTACTGGAATGGAGCAATAAATCTTGAGAGATGCAAACAATTAGAAGGTCTAGGTCTATACTCTTAAAACAAAATGCGCCTCGCGGAATATCACTTCCGGCACTTCCGCTGTGAAGGACAGCAACGAAGGTTTGTTTCGTTTCTCAGTAGAACAACCACAAAGGCCAAAGAAAGACGGGAACTTTTGTCAAATTTATTTTTCTAAATTCAGGAAATGAATAAATAAAAAATCGGGCTCCGTCATGGGGACCTATTTATCTTTTTGCAGGTACTTGCCAACTTTCAACTCGCTTGCTGTCGTAGTTTTATGGGAAAAGTGACACGCGTGTTTCCAAGTTGCCAAATATAAATTAGATATAGAATCTACACATATTTTAAACATTTTAAACAAATCATAAAAACACAGAAGTATTATCAGAGTCTCTGGTATTATGACAAACCATAAAAAACAGAAGTATTATGACAAACCTCAAAAGTACAATAATAATAATGATAATAATAGATAGCATTTGTATAGCGCATATCCCCGCTCAACAGCAGGATCTATGCGCCTTACACTATATTATTACCCCAGCAGACCATAGAACACTCCGAAACAGTCTCAGCTTCCCGAGAAGCATACAGTGCAAGCAGCCGATTAAGCGCTCAAACACTAACAAACTGACAAGATCTTTCGCTGTCTATAGTCGGGTACCCATTCCCACCGGGGTGAAGTGAGGAAAATTCGTGTAAAATGCCTTTCCCAAGGACACAACGTCGGGCCCCTGACGGGATTCGAACCCACGACCTTACGGTTGCGAGTCCGAGAGCCTAACAACTAAACCACAAAACGTAGAAGTATTATGATATCAAGGAATATAACAATTGAGCTTTTGCAAAGAAGCATAGTATAAAACAAACAAAACCGAATAAAGCAAACACCTTTAAAAAAACAAAACAAATGACAATGTTTTGCTATTCTTAGTGTTTGTTCGTCTGTTTGTCTATTTTTCTGTGTATCCGTCGGTCTGTCTGTCTGTCTGTCTGTCTGTCTGTCTGTCTGTCTGTCTGTCAGCCTCTCTGTTTGCTTGTCTGTCTGTCTGTCTAACTTAACTTTAATAAATAAACGATTACAAAAATGACGGAAGGTGGTCATAATCGGAGCACAAACTCGATTTCAAATCAAAGTTTTTTTAAGGGTATTTTAATTGGACATATGTGAAGAGGAACTCAATAATTTGGAAAATTTACCAAAGCTGAACAATCAGAGTACATGTAATTGTAAACTAACTAATGAAATCAGATTCAGCAACAGGATTGTTTTTGATAGTACTGCGACGATGAAAAAAGTAATATTGGCGAAACAGATTCCAGATGCAAAATAGAATGTTCCCCAAAAAATAATTAAAAAATTAATACATTGTTATTTTCTCTCTCTCTCTCTCTCTCTCTCTCTCTCTCTTTCTCTCTCTTTCTCTCTCTCTATCTATCTATCTATCTATCTA